ATTTTGTCGATGCATAGATAGTAAAATTTTATACAAAATATATGTTTTTATTGTTTTAAATGTGCGTGAAAAATATTATGTTTACATAAAATATTTGTTAGAGGGGTGCCGGATTATTTTGTGCCATTGGATTAAAATTATTTATTGTATAAATAAAAACTTGTATAAAATTATTTTAAAATAAAAAATATTTATTTAATAAACATTCAAAATTATTCATTTATATATAAATAATTTTAAACAATCCATTAAAATTGTTTTTTAAAAAATAGTTTCTTTAATGTATGGACTTTGTATTGAATTCTTTTTATTGAGACCCTTCACTCATTTTTTATTTGATTGAGATCTCTATTCTTTAAGATTTTTCTCTCCAACCCCTTCGTTACTATGCTATTTATTTTTATTTGATACAACATGTTGCTTTAAATTTTAGTTGTTAGTGATTGGAGCGCGACATTATGATTCAAAGAACATTTTTTCAATCTAAATAAAAAATAAAAACTTATTTTAATAATAAAATAATATATATTTTTTTTAAGGGAAAGACCAGACCCCTCGCCTCGTTATTTTCCAATCCATTCTTTTCTTTTAGAAACTCGTTCTCTCTCTCTTAGTGTATATGTAATTTGTTAATCATTTTTAGAACCAAGCTAAAATGAGCATAACATATGGATGTCTTTATTCAACCACAACTTTGATGTGCAAGATGGGATCGATCCAATCCTATATTTTCACTCTTTATGGAAAAAGGAATTAAAAACAATGGAAATTGAGAAGGTCCAAATGTCCACGAAAGTTAAAATAAATGCTTATAAATTTGTCATAGTTTACATATATATATATATATATATATATATATATATATATATATATATATATATATATAACATACCAACATATATTTTAAAATAGTCTCAAAATACAATCATTTAAAACAAAGACCTTCGTTCTTTCAAGTCACAAAAATCATCTATAAGTGAATCTATACTAAAATTTTCATCAATTTTTTTCTTCAATATACACTAACAAACAATCGAAAAGAAAATCATCTTTCAACTTGTTACAAAGCTTGGTCTTGATTATGCTTATAGCTGAAAATGATCGCTTCATGGTAGCCGTAGAAACTAAAAGAGTAAGAATAAGTGTTATCACTCTATACACTAGTGGATAACTTTTAAATTTTCTCATCTTCATTAACCACGGACAAAAATCAGATATAGTTAATAATGTTTCGAAATCAAAAAAAAATTTGTACATAATTAAAAAGCTCAAATTGCATCCTTAATTATAGTATTTCATGATCGACAAAGTCTTAAAGGTAAAGTTTTTGCACCAACTTATAAATGTCATCAATCCTAAACGATATGCACATCTCTCTATGATCTAAAGTTGCACTAAGAATGAGTAGCTCTATCATGTGATCATTAAATCTATTATTCAGTTCTTGCAATTGAGAATTTATCACAACATTGAATATGTCAACTTTGTAATGATGCTCAACCGTAATTTCATCTTGTTGATGACGAGCCCTTCCTTTTCTTGCAACATAATGAGCACTCGGATCCGGTATGGGTATGCTAACTACTTCACAAAAAGATTTTGCTTTTGAAATTAATTCATCCTATCCTTTATTTTTTAATTTTTTTAATGAGTGACTTAGTTGAAGAATCTAGATGCATTGCATTCAAAATATCCAGATGTTGAAGTTATAAATGATATGTGCATCTCTCAGGATCTAAAGCCGAACTAAGAAAGAGTAGCTCCATCATATGATCATTGAATCTATTATTCAGTTCTTACAATTGAGAATTTATCACAACATTGAATATGTCAACTTTATAATGATGGTCAATTGTAATTGCATCTTGTTGATGACGAGCCTTCCTTTCTTACAACATAATGAGCACTCGAGTCCGTTATGGGTATGTTGATCGCTTCACAAAAAGATTTTGCTTTTGAAATTAATTCATCCCATCCTTTATCTCTTACTTTTTGAATGAGTAACTTAGTTAAAGAAACTAGATGCATTGCATTCAAAATATCTTGAGATTGAAGTTGTAAAGCTTGACAAAGCAAATCAAATATCTCTAAAATTTTTCTCATGAGATGCATAATGAAAACAAATTCAAAAAAGGTTAATCCCTTATAAGTTAAATCTGCATCTCCACGCATCTTCAATGATATTCAGTAAAAATTCACAAGTTGCACTAAACATATTCATCAAGCTAGAAATAGATTTTAGATGAGAACTCCAACAAGTATCCCAACCCTTTTGTAATATCCCGAACCCGTTATTAAATGAATTAAAAATATATTAAAGACGTATGAAAACTATTCCGTGGGTATATGATAGTTGTCATGAGGATGCTAGAATATTTGAAGCACTTAAGATAATTTTCCCGTGTTGAGTGAATATTTTATCTCGTTTTTCAATTCATAAATAGTAACTTTTATGCAAAATAAATGTTTTGAGTATTTTAGATGTGCATGAAAAATATTCTGTTTACATAGAATATTTGTTAGAGGGGTGCCAAATTATTCTGTGCTAATGGGTGAATTTTCCGATATTCAGTGAATATTTTTTATGCATGAATAGTGATTTTTTTGTGCAAATTAATTATTTTAACTATTTTAAATGTGTTTGAAAATTATCTAATAGGCATAGAAAAATCATTAAGGAGTGTAGGAATATTCTATGAACTTAGATGAATTTTTCAATGCCTAAGGAATATTTTCTATAGAAATAAGTGTATTTTTACACTTATTTCAATCCTCAAATTAATTATTTTATGTAAAAATACACTCATTTATCCATAGGTTAATTAAAATTCCAATTGAAGCATTCTCAAAAAGGAAAAAAAAATCAATTAAAGCATGAATTAGGATGGTGTCATATTGAAAGTAGAATTGTGACAAAATAAAAAGATGATAAAAGCATATGGCATGGGGTGTTTCATAAGAAAAAGGATTTGGAGGGGGTCGTGGCTCCCGTAGCATTCTACGTGAGTCCACCCTCGCTATCGTAGCTTATTCAATACATTTATATTCTTTTCGTTTCGTGAAGATTGTCTTATGTTTTATTTGTTTATCCTAAAATATTTGTTTTAGTCAAAATATTAAATACATATTGTTTATAATATTTCTAAGTAATATCCATTTTACAAGAGACAACAACTAAAATGAAATTATTTGTAAAAATGATACTAAAAAAAATGATGATATGGTATAATTATAAATGATTTTATTAACTATATGAAAAATTAAACTATAAGAGATTGTTTTAGCTGTATTTTTTTTTTTTTAATTATGTACTAGGGAATTGTGGCCTTTGGTCCGAGAGTAAATTATAAATTAATCCCTCTCGTTTCAAGAAACAAATTAATAAGTTCACCTGGTTTTAAAACTCAATCTTTTATTTTTATTTTATTTTTATTTTTTAATTTATTTTGATTTTTGTTTTAAGAAATAGAAAAGAAAAAATAAGTAAAAATTATAGAAAGATTAATGAAAAATATATATTTTATAAAATAAAAAATTAAATTAATCGTAATTAATACTGATTTAATGATTAAATAATTATTTTTTAACATAAAAATGATTGATTAATTTGTTTTTCGAAAAAAAAACGACAAATTTATAATTTATTCAGAAAACGACAAATTTATAATTTATTCCTGATCTGATGGTGATAATTATTTGTCTCCACTTGCAACCCTCTCATGCTCATATTCGTTGCCATCGCGGCATGATTGGCAGTAGATCCAACTACGTCTAGGAAGGTGTGAAGGTGTGGATCGCATGTGTATGTGTGTGTATATATTTCTTTGTTTCTCAATTTTGTATTATTATATTAGTACGCAGTAAGGTTCCATGATGTGGAAAGCACGTGCTAAAGTTCCATATCCGTATATTGGCATTATTGATATATTGATTTTCAATAACTTGATGTTTGTTAAGATGACAAGCAATATATGGTCTCATGTCCTTTTTAATTTGTTATCATCCACCGTTGTCTGTTTAATATTTTATTTTTATTTTTATACGAGAGTTTTTTAATTTAATTAAAATCAAAATTCAATTCTTACAATTCATAAATAATTAGTCATAATTATTCTTTTGTAGTATCATATTTGGACTCATTATTTAGCTTCAATTGAAGCAAAATCTGATCCAAAAATATAATATAATATATATATATATATATAAAAAGATTTGTTGCTCTTTGCAATTAAAAAGGATGTTAATAATTTACTACTGTTTTTCCTTTTCCTATTGTATGGTTTGACCTTTATTACTCATTTGTTTCCAAATTACTGTATACTTGAGTAACTTTTATTTTTTGTGGTTTGTATGCTGTGCTGTGAGGGACAATAGATAGTGAAAGAAAACGAGCAAACTCCTTCCGTTAAAAAGCTCTCTCGACAAGCTCAGATAATCAACACTGCTATTACTTCTACGACAGAAATTCCTAGTAATAATTGCAACAACACAACTAATAAGAAAAAAAAAGTGAAAATTACAGAGAAATTAAAGAAAAAAATACAGAAGAAAAAAAAAAGGGGCTGAAATTATTAAAATTTTAATAATTTTAATACTTGTGTTCTGATGACATGAACAATTAGCCACATCAGATTAGGAGTAGCATCTCTGAAGCAGGTTTCAAGGAAGGAAGAAATTATGGAAGATTATTTGAATAATTAGTTGAATAATTATTTGAATAATTATGGAAGGAGTAGCATCAGCCCAATTTGAAATCTCAGAGATCTAAAATATTTTTTTTTTTTTTTTTTTTTGGGTATGCATTCGAAAACTACATACGTTATTATGAAAACCTAATGGAAGGACTAAGTTAATTACAAACAAACATAAGAATATAGGGTTCAACATTGACGTTTTTAAATTAAATAAAGAGGTCAATTAGTTAAATAGATAGGCGTTAAATGATAGTGTAATCCGTCTTTATCAAATTTACTTTGTTTCTGATAGTTCATCTCTTGAACATGATTACAAGGATGGAGAGAATGGAGTTAGCATCCCCAAAAGGAAAGGCAAAAGTGATAGGGACATTGATGGGAATAGGTGGTGCTATGCTTCTCACTTTCTACAAAGGGGTAGAAGTTAACATCTGGTCAACAAATGTTAACCTTTTGCAGCATGGTCAGTCTCATTTGGCTTCATCTCATGATCATAGGCGTGGCTTGGGGTTTTTCATGGCGTTATGCAATTGCTTGTCCTATGCTTCGTGGTTGATAATTCAGGTGATTTTTAATACTAGCTAGTATTGTGTTTCTAGCTTCAAATCACTATACAATAAGCTGTGGAATAATACGTACTCAAAGAAAGACACTGACTTAAAATCTTTGCGTTATCAGATTCACGGTTAGTTAATTTCGCTTTACTCCATTTCAAATTATCTGTCGTTTATATATATATATATATATATATATATATATATATAAAATCTTGCCCCATTTTTCCTCACGCTTGGAACGAAAAGCCTTGAGCATAATTGGGTAGCTAGGTTTTAAGAATTTTTGTACAAATCTAAGCGAATTGGTTAATGGCATCTTTCAGGGGGCATGCATGAATCCTCCACATCCATCCGGGTTCAAAATTGAAGCCAAATCTTAAGAGGTAAAATTAGCATGAATTCCTTAATTTTGATGAGAATGATTTTTCTTCATTCATATCGAAGAACTAGAATTAGCATGCTTAATTAGCTGGTCCAAGAAAAAAAATTGCCGTAGATTTAAATTAATAGTGTGTGTTCTACAATAAATTTATACAATCCCTTTAGCTAGTGTTGTTTAATACTAGCTATATATTCTCTTCTATATAAATATATATGTATATTAATTGATTGTTCGTGGAAACAGGCTAATTTGAGCGTAAGATACCCGTGCCATTACTCAAACTCGGCTTTAGTCTCTACAATGGGAGCAATCCAAGCAACTATCTTTGCTCTTTGTTTTGAAAGAGATTGGAATCAATGGAAATTGGGATGGAATATTAGACTTCTCACCGCAGCTTTTTCGGTATATGTATTAATTTTAATGCTTGGCATTTCATTTATTTAATTATATTCCATCGAAGAGATTCTTTAAGCTCTAATTTACTATTATCTATATATGTGTTTGCTGATTTTGTGATTACTTTTTGAAATGAGGGCTATATATGTAGGGAATCGTGGGCTCTGGTTTGATGGTAATACTTATTTCTTGGTGCTTGTGCATGAGAGGTCCATTGTTTGTCTCCATTTTCAGCCCTCTCATGCTTGTGTTAGTTGCCATTGCCGGGTCATTGGCATTGGATGAGAAACTTCATCTTGGGAGGTATCACTTTAATTTCTTTTTAATTCTTAGCATTGATACTGCGTTGTCACAGCATTTATTAACAAAATTATTACAAATATATAATTTGACATTTGCAATAATTTTTTTAATAAATGCTCTGACAATGTCAATTTATCATAGACATTTAGAGTGGGAAATGTAAAGTGGTTATACTTTTATATAAAAGATTGCATAGCCTTATGACTACCAAAAAAAAATCGGGTAACTTATATTGAATTTTATTATATAGATTAACCTTTTTTATTTTTTCTAATTACAGCATCTTAGGAGCAATGTTGATCGTTTGTGGTTTATACGTTGTGCTATGGGGTAAAAGCAGCAAAAAAATTGAAAGTGATGACCTTGCTCCATCAGAAACCTCCCAGGAAGCTGAAATAACTAGCATTATAGCTATCTCTCCAACAAAAGATACTGGTGACGACAACAATATAATAGATAGAGGTTCATCGGAAAAAGAAGTTGTGAAAATAAAACAATTAATGAAAAGAAGTAGAAGAGAGAAAGAGAGAGGGAATAATAATGTATTTCAAGACTTAAACAAAATGACGTAGAAGGTGATGAAATGGAGGGAATGATAATGCACTTTGAGATAATAAGTAAATTTATATTTCTATACTCAAAGACTATTGTATATAAATTAATAAGTAAATTTATATTTGTGTCCTCAATTTCACTTAAAAAAAAAGATATTTTAATCAGCTAAAGAATGAGATTCGGTTTGCTTTAATTAGCTACCATACCTTTTATTATATTTTCAATTTCTTATCGTCATATATACAAGAAAGTTAATTTCAAATATTGGATAAGAATTCTAAGAAAATCTGATATGATTGGAAAGATAGATTGAGACCGTAATAGCCAAGACTTTGAACATGATGCGCGTGTGTGTGTGTGTGTGTATGTGTGTGCATGCGGTTATTTTGTTAAGTATGTGTCTCGTTGTACTACATTGATAAAAAATGTCATGTCACGATATGTTATAATCATTAACGAATATTTGGTTTTACAAATTCATATCGCTAAGTGTTGTGGATGACTAAGGGACCCGAGTGTAACACTTAAAAGATTGAAAGTTTAAGTGAGTTAAGTGGTAAAGTAAGGTGACTAGTTTGTTAAGTTTTTCAAACTTGAGGGGCTAAGCCTCATTTATGGTGGTTTAGAATTGAAAAACTTCGTAACAACAAGAGATAAAATTGATTCCGCCAAGAGAAACAATTTCGGCCGAGAAAGACAGTTTGGTCGAGAGGAAGGAATTTTGAATAAGTGTGTTGCAGAGAGTGAAATAGGAGAGAAAGATGAGATTTTTAAGAGTTTTAGGGTGTAACAGGAGATGTATGAACAAAACTCGTGAAATAACAAGAGAAGTAACAAGCAAGGTAATCAAACTTATGATGCATAAGATATAACCAACAAAACCTCAAAAAATCATCAATTAACGTAATATAGTATTTAAATCCCGTGAAAAAAGTAATAAGAGATGTGCAAACATCACAATGAACTAATTCAAGAAACGAAAAATTAAAACTAGTTCGTGTAGAAAAAGGCAAATTACATGCCTTTGAAACATAAAATAAAAGGCAATGAAAAACAGTACACCTTTAAAATTGGAAAAAGACTTATGGAAGATCTTAATTGATGAAGAATTACGGATTATGGATGGCCCAAACATGCATGTCGGATAACATAAGAGGCAAAAGTAGATAGAAAAGCTTGTTGTGGTGGATAAAGATGTCAACAAGATAAAAAGGGATAAAAAGGATCATCATTAGGGAAATGTAAAAGAATGGCCTTCGTTTGTGAGTCATTGATTAAAAATCCCCATGCATGAAATTAAAAAAAAAGAAGTTATTATCACGAGTAAATTGATAAACAAATTTTATTTTATTTTATTATTATTATTATTATTATTATTATTTTGTAAATAAGGAACACATAATACTTATAGAAAAGAAAGAACACAAGAGGAAGTAGGTATAGATGTAGTGCAAACATATTAAATGGGAAGAATTGAACCATTCCCCACAAGAATATGATCAAAACCAGAATGGGAATAAGGAGAAGTAAGCTTACCAAAAGCATTGGTCATGGGAGAAATAGCGCATGTATCATGGTAACCAAAGGGATCAAAAGAGTTAGCCGATGACGAGCTTACAAACTAAGTAGCCAAGTCGATTTGTCGGAGGTGCAACGAAGGCAAAAAGCGATAATGTGATAATATGCACCAAAAGAATAATATGTCATTTGAAAATAATATTGACCAGATTGGGAAGGAAAGAGGGGAAAGCTGCCAAAATACAATAAACATGACCATAGTTCGAATTAGAAGACATAGGGTAATAGTCAACACAACCTCGACCCTTATTATTGTAACCACGACCACAAGAACGACCCCTTCCATATGGACCTAAATACATAGAATAACCAAAAGAAGATAGGGAGAAATTTGAAGCGTACTAAGTGAAAATAAAGGCTATTTGTAATAGTGGAACTAGATAAGAAGAGAAAGAGTTAAGATTGGTAAGGCAAGCTCCATGGCTTAAGAGCATTCTCTAGAGCTCAACGAAATGTAGGGGAGGGTTTTTTATTAGATGCAATAGTCACCAAGAATTCATAAGAAGAGGGAAGTCCCTAAAGAATTTAATGAACTTATTCATGATCAGTGAGAGGTTGTTGGATGGTAGCAAAAGCATCAACAATCTCCTTAAAATGCTAATAGTAAGCAACAATTAAGAGGTTTCCTTTCACTAATTTATTAAGGCTATTTAGTCGGAGTTCTTTGGATGTGGATTTGTCAAGAAAGTGAGATTCTAATGCTAACCATGCAGTAGATACAATACTAGAGGAATAAAGAAAAGCAAGAATTTCATGCTTCATTGTGGCATTGATCCATCTAAGAATCAGCTTTATCAACTTTGATCCAAGTGGCATACTCGGGATTTGGCTCTGTAGATTTTCCATCGAAGAAGTAATTTGTTTTGCATGAATATTGAGGTGTTGAGAGATATGATCTTGAAGCTCATGAATAATTAAAATAGGTTTAAAAAGATAAGACCAAGTTAAGTAGTTTATCATGACAAATTTTTCTCTAGCAAAATCACTAATATTAACGTGAAAAGTGCGAGAGAATAGAGAGGAAAAAGGGTTCCTAAGATCAAAAGAACTCGATACCATGTAAGTTATATTTATGCTCAAACTTTATTGGTTAGAGCTACTAGATTTATACAAAATAATCATATACAAGATAAGTCTTACAATTGTTTTAGACAATAATAAATCTATAGGATGAGTACAAAGATACTACTTTACAAGTATAAGGTATCCATGCCATTACTTAAGCACTCGCTTTAATTTCCGTAATAGGAGTTATTCCGGCCTTTTTTTTTTTTTTTTTTTTTGCACTTTGCATTGAAAAGGTTTGGAATCAATGGGAATTGGGTTGGAATATTAGATTGCTCACCATAGCTTTTTAAAAAAAAAAAAAAAAACTTATTTTAACTCTTTGGTATATTTCTTTTTGTATTTAGTTATAATTACTTTTTATTATATATTTTTTTTCTTTTTATTTTTTCGCATGTATTACTATCACATATTGGAGATAGAAGTAATCAAATTCGAGAAGAAAGCGATAAAATTTAAATCCTTTCAACAAGTGTTATTATGTATGTTTTTTAATTGATTGTAGCTTAGTTTTTCTAACGTGGACTAATTATTGAGTGTGTGTGTGTGTGTGTTGTTAGAAAATAATATAAATCATATCTTGAAACTTCACCTAATAGCTTCATTTTTTAGGTTGAGCTGATCCTTTGACATGGTATTAAAACCTTATTAACCTAACAATCAAGAATTCAAATCCTACCAATCTCAGTTTCTCTTTTAATTAATTAAACACAAGGTAGCATGATTTGAGGGAGTCTATTAGAGAATACTATAAATCATATCCCGAAACCTCACCTATATATAAATGAAATCATGGGCTCTGGTTTTATGGTGATCCTTGCTTTATGGTGATTAGTAATAAGAGGTCCATTATTTGTCTTTGTTTCCAATCCTCTATTATCTGGTGCTAGTTGCCATTACCGAGTCATTAGTTTTGGATTAGAAACTACACCTCAAAAGGTATTGTGTTTTCTATTAAATAGATCCGGGTTCCATTCTATTCATGTTAATTTAATACTTATGAATCGTACATTAACTTTACATTCATTTAATCTGGATGATATCTACATGATTCATCATTAATTTTACATTTTTCTCACATTTGATTTATTTAGTCAATTT